CTGGAACCGGTGCATGTAGCCAAACAAGAGGAACCTCACTCAACACCATCAATCTGCCGTGATCGTTCAGAAACTTGTCGATTAATGATGCCACATTATACCATTCTAGTGCAGACCCAAGAAATCACTTGGGTATGCTTACACGACAACAGCGCGCTCACACATGATCTGCGCAACAGAGGTGTGAACGACCACAGTGTTTACTAATCACAAACTCAAGTTCGCCGCAAAGGTACACACCAAGTCCAAGGTGGAACGGACGTCAAGACTACGTAAACCATACTCTTCGTACACTATTAACTAGTAATTTTCACTCTATATTTTCAGCTCATGATTAAACAGTACATTACGTCCTTCTGTTGTTTTCCTCCTAATTCCGACCTGAAGCTACTCAACAGGCCATTTTCTCCCAGGAGCTCAAACGGCCACAAAACGGGAAACCGCAGCTCAGCAGTATCAAATATGGCACACCAATGTGTCCCAGTGATTAGAGCACCAATTTACTTATTGCAAGGTTCATGGTTCGAACCCGACCTGTGAGTCCCGACTTCACCTGTATGGGCTTGGACAACCTCAGCCCTCGTGCTTCCTTCGGGTAGCACGGCAGCTAAGCACCGAAAGGGTGTTACAGCTGAACTATCATCGTTATGATAAGTGAACCAAGAGAAAAGTGGAATACATGAGGCACACCTAATTGCCACGCCACCAGAAGGAAGGACGAAGGCTGTGATACTGTCCGGTTGCCCAAGCCTGGACAGAGGAAGTCGAGAGACGGAAGTTGAATTCGAACCTCAGACCTTCCGGTCAATAAATTCGCGCTCTCACCACTGAGCATTCTGACTCCGGCAAAATGAAAAAAGTGCATGATCACAGCGTTCGGGGTCGCCTATCCGGCTTTTCCATACGGCATGTTTGTGACGCTAGATATATATTTATGTACCGGCGGGTGGGGAATACGGGGTACAACGCAGAACCTTCAAATACAAATTGCGGTAGCGACGCCCCTTCGGTGCATTACGAGGGCGGTGACGCGCGAGGGCTATTATACTGCCTGGTTGTCCACGCCTATACAGAAACAGTCGAATTCAAACTATTAAAATTTTGAACAGCAAGTGCCTAACGGCATCATGACCGCAACATTCTCCTCGACTGCTGAAAAGTAAGGCCTGTGGAGACTGAGAAAGCTCCAGTAGGTGAATAAATCCCAGAAGTCAACGGCTTCGCTAAAGGAATGGCATGTCCTTTATCACTGGGTTCAATCGACGAACCGGACAAGTGTCGGGTGAAAGACAAGCAGCTGGTCCGCAAAAGCGTCGACTAGAAGGGTAATCCAGATACCTTAGAAATAACTTAGATGGCCCTCTTTAACAGTCCTTGGGGGCCACAACTGTCCACAGGAAATAAGCTGCCAATTTGTCACGCTGAGGCGAAAGGCACCGTGTCCGGAAACAATGCGCCAGGCCTGCATAAGAGGCACAGTAAACCTGCTAGACCACTTGAAAACACTCACTAATACTTCATAACCTGAAGAATCACAGAACGAAGCAGGCATCAACAGCCTAAATCTTCGAAAAACATGTGAACGCCATCAGGAAACCACCGTAGCATTGGCCGGGTAGCTACAGCTTTCTGGACTTACCCTACACATAGCGACTGGACGTCCTGTGAGCTACATACGTCGCCCTTTTTTTCAAAACAATCCTGAACGGCATCGTTTCCGGTGTTGACTTATAGGCTGTATTTGACAGTCAACCGCAAATTGCTGACTGGAAGGTCAATTCGACCAACCTCTTGTAGCCCCGGCAGCATCACATCTCAAATCCCGTGCTTGCTTCTGATCGCACGGCAGCAGTTGCAGCTGTCTCCGCTGCAGAGTGGTGCGGAGTTTATGTACATCTGTGACCCACTGAGCTACATTGGGGGAAGTTCACTGAGTTTCTCATACAGGGGTGGTCGGTGGGTAGAGATGTGACGAACAGTCTCTCGGTGCTCCTGGCTGGAAGAGGATTGGAGCAGGCGCATGTCCCTTAAAAATTGTACTGCTGTAATACTACTCCGGCACCCATCCACTGCTTTGCGGTCTGGCGTTTGAGCCGAAAGACTTGGCTGAGGACCCTAATAGCCCTCCCGTCTACATGTGGACGCCATAACAGTATCCCAGCACACGTATAACCATGATGAATAACTTGTCATGTCACATAAACTGTCACGCGGTATGATCAACCTGGTTGCCTTGCTTGTTGCATACAGAAGGGCGGAGAAGCGACGAGACTCCCTGACACTTCCACGTATGCCCTATTCCATGCTATTCCACCTCGGTTTCGATACTCTCTCCATAGGTTCTAGCAGTAAGACTGACCACTTTATTCGCCGTGAACGGCGCTTCGCTGCAGATTCTGCACATTATACTTCAATAATCCTAAACACCTCGGAATGTTTTCAAACCATGAAAGATGATCCACTTAGCTGCTTTTAATGTTCAAACACGGAAGCAAGCTAGGTTCGCTCCGTATTGATGTATGCTGTCAGATACAGGTTTAGGATGAAAATATTGCAACTAAGCTGACAGCCCAGTTTCTGACTGCGCACCTCTGCGGAGGCTACTGTAGTTGTATATACAGGGGTGGGTATAGTGTCGAGCCAACATAAGCATTTCCCTTTGATTGGATACCCACTGATATTGGCCTCTGTAATTTGTTTGGCAGAAAATGGGGTCTATCGTCCACCTTCGAAACTCAGTCAGAATATCTGGTTAGAAATTGACAGCATGAACGCCACCGACACTGTTTCGCTGCCGTATAGTCCAGCGTCTTCAGCCAGGCACAGAAAGGGTCACGTGGATCCCATCCTTGAAGGCCACAGAACGGTACTGAAGCTTTTAGCGACATTATCTGCTTTGTCAAATTGTGAATCAGACAAAAGATGACGCCCGCTTCGTCAGGTGGTAGCCATGCGTCACGCATGGCCCCATAGCTTGGCCGCCATAGCTTGCAATGCTGGATGCATTCTTTGGGGAAAACACCTTCAAAAAACTCGTATCTGATCACGTGAATGCGAATTTACGGGTGCCAAACAATCTGCTACAGCTCTGAGACACTGGTGCCCCAAAACCTAGTACGTCAGATCCACCAATTTTCGCATCATCATTGCAGCTGTATTAACCGCGTACTCGTCGTACAGTGGTTGTAGCTGCCGCAATTTCGTTTACCGATGATTTGGGGAGGGGGGGTAGTTAGCTGCGCATTGCAGGTGGGAGATGGTAAATTGGTGCATAAATCCACCACTGCCAGTGGGCTGTCAAGCGGGGGGTTGAAAAGGAGCTATGCATTGAAGGCAATAGCTTGGATCCACGAGTGCCATTGAGGGCGCGACCGGGCTACGTCTGACAATATCTCTAGCCATTGATGTGGCCTGTCCCGGGATCTCTATCCAGGAAGACGGCATTGACCAGCGCAGCTGAGTTTGCTGCCAAGTCATTGTTTAACCGCCTCTGGCTCTCATCCACTCTCCACGTGGTTGTGCGAAACGAGCTCTTCGAGGAAGTCGGTCGACTGGCATACGCAGCACGTGGCCAAGCCAGCGCCACCTATGCAGTGTGTTCAGTTCACCTATCGACGTACTTCAGTATTGCTGATCCGGCGTCTCCACCAGATTCGGGTAATGCTCTGAAGACATCGATGGTCAAACACTGAAAGTTTTTTTGACGTCCTCGGCGCGCAGCGGCCAGGTTTCTGATCCATATAGTAATATGGAATGCATCGCAGCATTGTAAACTCGACCCTTGACAGAGAAGCTGTCACGCCTACGCCACACGTGAAGTAGGTTCACAAAAACTGCTCTGGCCTTTCCAATCCGGATGGAAACATCATCTTTCCATGAATCCACCGGGACTGATACAGCTGCACCAATTTTCGCAGCCGTACACCAACAGTCTGTGCTGTATTTCGACACACACGACATTCGAGACCCAGTGAAATGTCATTGTGATGTCAAATTAGGAGACGCACTTCCGACCTTTGAGATCCGTGCATTCTCTGCGCCAGTCACATTACCGTCAGAGCTATCGCGACTTCCAAGATAAGTAGTGCTACACAACCTCTAACGTCTATCCTTGAACCCTCGGAGAGAGTTCGCACTGTACGTCCCGTACCATGGCTTTTGCGCTGTGGACGCGTGGCGATTCCCGAAGGGCTGTATGGCAATGGCCAGCTTTCCCAGAAACACATGAGCCTACTGCTTTCGAAATCACGAACGCCGTTTGCATATTCCAGGTCGATAGGCACTCCCTGGAACAGATCTGGAGTCCGAGGCTTCGAAGACCTTTCAGTGATCGTTCATGTCATCAATAGCGAAATCAAACAACGGAGAGTGGACATGCTTCTCAATGAAATGTGGTTAAACTGTATCGCCCTTTCGGTGCCCAGCTGCCATGCAACCCGAAGGAAGCATGAGGGCCGAGTTTCTGCCAGGTTGCCCAAGCCTACGCAGGAACTAGAGAAGCAGATGTTGGGCTGAAACTACACCTTTCGGCCAGTATGCTCATATACACATCGTACGTCAATAAATCACCTCGTGATGACGCTTTTCGCAAAACGTATGGAAACGGCTTATGGAGGGTAAAGCCACGAAGTATGGATGCCAGCAGTGGTTCGCATTCAAACACACCAGCACACATGACCGAGTTCCGTGTTCGATGGTGCTGAAGCATAAAACTTAATGCCATCAATGTGTGGCTACTCTTCTTCCATTGATAAACAGTTCACAAATGTACCCGGACTCGATACATACCATGCCCTTGACTAACGCAAAAATACTTACGAACTTTTTCACCAGATGAGCGAAAGAAAAAGTGGCAGTTAGGTCCGATGTATAAGTGAACGTTTCAGAATTGATGACGGAGAATTACGTAGCCACTCATTTGACCCCCGATTACTCCTACAATTATAGGAACGAGTTCACCGAAAAGCGTCGAACATGCTCCATAAGCTTTATTCTGATGTCTAAACAGAGTCAACTTGGGGTGGCTCATAATGGTCAGGCCGCGTAACACCTTCACCAGGAGCAGCATCTTTCGATTCTCCATGCAGTTCCATCAGACGACCAACTAGAAATGTTTAAGCATACCGAGCTGAACTTACTGTCTAGTTTGGGCTTCTTGAGGACCTTGACTTTCCGGATTATCGTATCGGCTTGAGGATATATCCAAGAGGCAGCCTTACGAGCGTCTTGTGCAATGGAGTCAGGAATCCTTAAAGAAAATGAAGCAACAATACAAAACCTACAGTTTGTTAACAACTTCCTTCAGGTCACAGGAGGAAACTTCTTGCTGGATGACCTCAACAAGTCGAGCGCGCAATCGCTTGACGCGTGTAGCTTGAGCGTATGTGTGGCGGCACTCATGGCGAGCTGACTTCGGATTAGGCGTGAAGGAGATTATAAAGAAGCGGAGATGGTATCCATCGGTGGTCTTCACGTCAACATGAGCTTCGATTGTTGAACGCCACCTAACCACAAGGGAGCAAAGTTTGTCCCTCGTAATCTCAAGTCCGTGGAAGTTGGTGAGACAATGCCGACCCTGAACATCCTCAACTTGGAGTTTGAATTTTCGGAATGTTTCCTCGTTCTTTTCGCTCAAGTCCCCCAAACTAAGAGTAACGACACGACCTTTAAGGGCCTCGCTTGCTATCTTTGTGCCCTGAGTTCTAGTAACCAACGTCCTGGCACAAGTGCGCTTGTGAAACATCGACGGTGCTTTGATATCATACCATTCTTTCTTGGTAAATGGATCAGCTCTGAGAAAAGCATAAAAACAAAGCCGAATGCCTACGTCTTTTTCTTTCCACCTTTCTTCCCTCCTTTTGACCCGCTCTTTTGACCTCCTACAGCCATCTTGGGTACGCAAAAGGTTGGGCGAACGAGACACGGTATGAGAAATTCGCAAAGTGCGCTCCGAGGCGAAGTAAAACAATAGGTTCGATTGGTTCAATAGTTCTGCGTGATACTTGGAAGCCAACTGAATTTTGATTCGGTTCGATATGTTTCCGATACTGGTTACGGATTCAAACGACCGTAAGAAAGGGAGGAGAATAGTTTCGTCACTTGTGAAATCGAGCCCAGCTTAGAGAGCTCAGTATTCGCACAATGGAAGTGAATTTTCAAAAGCCATTACGTATCCCTGATTCACGGATTCACGGATTGATACACAGGATCGAGGCTTTTGCCCAAGTTTCCCCGGTCGGTTTTGTTCTTGTCGGTCAGTGGCTGCCGTTCACCTGAAAGGCACAAGTGAAAAAAGGGTGTAGCACTGCTCTTTATGTTCTCAGCGCGGGGCAGTATGCTCGCCAGCGCGAGGATTCGCATAAATAAATGTCTAATAGTCTGATAGATTAAAGCAATCAGGCATTTGAATTCTGAGTACCAGCCACAACTTTGGAGCCCCATTTGGGCATCCCGGGGCTTCATCAATGCTGGAAAAATATTCCACCAGACTTTTCAGCCAGATGTGTGAATGTTCCGGTGAACAATGAAATTTGGTGAGCTGCAAAAATGAGGGTAGATCGAGATGATTTTTGGTTTAAGCCCATACGCAAAAAAATGCAACATTATGGTCAAGAGGTCTTACTCCATACTTCAAGCTCTTTGAGGTAAGCGCACTGTGCGTCTCTTTGGCTCCCTTGACTCACCTAATCCTGTGGGGTCAACCAAAAACCCGGGTGGTATTTGGGAAAGTGTGGTTGGTGTGAGACGTGCGGAGGGTACAGAGGCAACGTGGATAAGGGTGGTCTGTGTCGTGCCTGAAGGTGGCTGAGGAGGAGGCACGAACAGGTTTATCTAGGGGCTACTGCACAGTGGAACAACTGGGGATGGGGAAAGGTTTGCGATGGTCGGTTGGTCTGGAAGAGTCTGAGAATGTTAGCAATTGTTGGTCTTGTGGTAGATGCTTAAAAACTGGCAAGCTGTCCCAGAGTGAAGAAGATTGAAGGTTTCTGTGAGGCATCTTCGAATCATCTGGTATCTCTGTGGGAGCATGTTTAGCCGCAAGCTGTTCGAGGTAGGAAGTAGTACGGAGTGTTTCAAAATTTGGTGGCTTTTGTGCACACTTTGGCGCACAGTGATGCCCCATCTCAGTCAAGGAAATCGCATGACACCATAGTGTGCCGCGGTTTTGTGAAATGGGGCTGCTACAAATTTGAAGATATGGAGAATCACCGCAGAAATGGGAAGACCTCCAGTCCCACGTGTTTGTAACGCGTCAGCATGAGGCAGAAATGGTACCGTTTCCGACAGGCCAAATGAAAGTATCAGGGGTTTTCGAATGAATATATGGAAGTTTTTTGTGGGTTGCGTGGACTAAGTTGGTTTTGGCTCAGGGGCGCAGAAAACGGTGATCTGTTTCAAAACGTGAGGATTACATATCTCTAATTCGTCGGTTTACCATAGTCCGTTGAAGTCAGGCGAGTGTGGTGCGAAAGCCGATCCAATAAGCATCAAAAGCAGGAGTTGGCCGAGCCACCGATCTTTGTGGGAATCCGCTAGACCTACCAAAGTGGGAAGTGGGCCGCGAGTACTGTTTGGGAGGACTGGATAAGACTGAAATCGGAAAGCAAACTAGATGGAGAATCCCTAACAGCCTAGGTTTTCGTTTTGGTAAGTTTGTGAGAGTTTTGTCAAAACCAAGGAAGCCCAGATAAATGTACATGGGGATACCCCCGCCCATAACAGTTAGGGTGAAGTCGGAGAGGAAGAGGTTCGGTCTCGTAAAACCGGAGTGGGAGTGCGAAAATCATGCTGACCGGACGGTGCAGTGTTTGACAGCAGTTAGACTGAGCAGCGATCTACTCGCGACTTCTTAAATATTTTTCAACGAAACGCGAATGAATTAAGAGGGTAGCAGTTATTTTGGTCGTTGTATCCTGGGGTAGCCCAAAAGGTGAGCCTCAATTGAGGACATCAGACTACGCGATAAAGAGAAGACGGAAGAGCATGAAAGCCATATTTTCAGGTCAGGTCAAACATACAGAGCCAGTGTCTAAATATTTAAGATGGCTGAATGTATAATTATGGTTACCGGGTTTGTTCGTTCTCGTCCAGCTAATGGTGGCGTTCCCGTATCGAACACTTTTTAAGCTTGCCCCGCTGATCTCATGCAGCTGTGCTAGCTAGGCCCGCGAACTGCTGTCCAGAATGTATGGCGACCGTAGGTAAATGTGGTGACGCGCCCATCTCCACACTTGCATTTTTCGTGCCTAGATGCCTCCTGACAATCGCACACCCTCAGAGGTAGGGGAACACAGAGGGAGTGATGAAATGAATTGTGGAAGGGCTAAATTGTCAGAACTAGTATGGATGATATTTAGTGGGTGACTTCTGGACCAAGCGAATCGCCAGAGTCATCGATGACTTTAGATCGTAGGCGAAGTCGATCCATTTACGTGCACCCGGTGTCTCATGCCGGGGAGTGGTCGGTGCGAAAACTAGTGCAGTGAGGGATCATCCAGGGAGCATTCTGTGTCGGTGTGGTTGCCACAGATGTATGCAAGGCGCAGAATAGTTACCACGGGGGGTTAGCATAAATCCCAAATCACAGTGACTCAACAGCTAAAGAGTGGAAAGCCATCTATTATACCACACCCGTTGGTGGAGACTAGGTCCATGACTGATTGGCATTGGCTCACCATGAATCTCGTGAGGGGCAAAAGTAGTGCTGTTACCACCCTAGTGGAATGGTCGTGTAAGAATGGATGAAAAGTCCTGGTTAGGGGCGGACGAGCAAGCTCAAGCTTCTTCGAGGGTGGCTCAAGTCCCCCAGTAGATGAAGGCAGTAGTGGATTGGGTCAGGCGGAGCGTAGGTGAGGTTGGGTAGGGAACATCTTCTCGGCGGCGATTGGGAACGTGATTGAAATAGAAAAGCAGCCGAACATGTGCGCAAAATGTGGAGTAGCCCAGAGCGTACCTATAAGTTTCAGGTGAAATATTGCCATAGGCGATTCAGGGGATCAGAGAACCGGCAGCGTGGTATCAAAAATCAACAATTCTGTCGCAGGGGAGTCAAAGTGCTACTTTTTGTGTCCAAGCCCCTCCTTTAAGTGTTGTCGATCTCACGAGTAGTCCAGAGCTCAGCCAGGAACAGGAAGTATAGGGATCGTAGGTACAAAATCACCCAATTCGGAGCACTTGTTTGAGATACTGACGTAGTTGTTGCAGACACACCAGACTCACTTCGCTGACAGGTTTGGTGAGGGTCGCGGGTAAATGCTGGATTGGATAGGCCTGATGTAGAGTCATTCAGGGGTGATGGTTGGGCAGGTGATGTGCGATGTTTGGTAGGAAAGGGTGAAGTCACGAGGAGGAAAACGATGGTTCATGCCTGGGTAGTGATGTGAACGTCAGCATGGGTGCGCACCCTGAGGGCGTCGGGTTCGGGACAGGTTGAGTGGTGGAAATTGGTGTTGAGGTGAGAATGAGGTGATTGTGCGTGTCTGCTGCGTGCCGTCTGACTACTTTGGAGTTAGTTTGGGATGATTAATGGAATCCCCTTCTCGACCACGAGGACGATGGTCTTTTGAGCTTTTTGCACTTTCCAAGACAATACAGTACGCCTTAGTGTCCGAAAGGCTGTCATGGATTTCTCCTGAAGGCGATGTCATTTCGGTGCTATGGGAGGTGAGGAATAACTATCGGGCATATCTTGGGGGGAATAGAAGGAGGCCAATAAATGTGTGGTGGTGAGGTCGAAGGAGCTATTCACCCTCCGTTGAGTGATTGCGTCAGGTTCTTCTGGCGAAATGTAAAGCGGAGCTGGAGCGCTGTGGAGTAGTTACTATGGGCATATCGACAGTTTTCTATTTTTTATTATTGTTAACCAAAAGAGTTTAACTTCAGATTTACTGGTGTATTCCTGAAATCCGCATTAGTGGCTCCTAAATCTGTGGCGATGATCGATCGGCCACGCAAGCTGAAACATAATCGGTGCCCGTGATTGTTAGAAAAATCCTTCATGGCTAATGGGGATGGTTTCGGTAAAAGAGCAGCGTTTGTCTATTTATTTTCTCAGGTCAGTGTCTATAATTTGCTGCTTGGAGGTGAAAATCGATTTAAGTCGACTTAATCTGTTGTTCCTATGAGAACGTTTAAATTCAGTCTGCGCTTCCTCCACAAAAATTCCTATAACTTGTCCACAGTCTTCCCCCACTTCCTGGGTAGAACGTCGCAACGGAGGCGTGTGGCGAGCGTTTTGTTCACCGGCGGCATCAATTCCTGGTAGGTGTGGCCACGTTGAAAACACATGTACACACGCCATCTTGATATAGAGATGCACTTCACTGGCAAGTGACTGCTATTCTGTCCTAAGAATAATCCAGATTTCGCCACATTTTGGATTCGCCCTATAGCGCATAGCCCCTCCCCCGACTTGGTCCACTGCGTCATGCCAACTGAGCGCATAAATATGACATTCTTGAACACACTATACGGAGAGTATTCTGGCAGTTTAAGTGATTCTCGTATAAACGTAAAATTTACACTTTGCAAGATTTTCGGCCCAAATACAAACCGAAATGGAGCCAAAAACATTGCGCACTTGGTTTCAAGAATTTCTTCACCTGCAGCTTCCCTTGTTTGGAGATATTTTTCAACGACACCCGCAGGTAAACCAGACAGTTATAGGAAGTATTAAGAGATTCAACATTTGAAGTATGTGTGAGTAGGCGAACCCATAAATGCTGCCACAGCTCGGTCAAGCATTAAAATATGGACTGCGCAATGGCTCTCTGATCTACTTTCGTAGTGTTTACCGTTGCTGACCTTGCCGAGGTATGAAAAATCTATTTGTTTGACCCAGTATGTCGTACTTTTGTTAAGATTCTAATGCAAAACACAAGATCATTGGG